AACTGAACTGGAAAATTGCCTTTCAATTATCATACAGCACCCTAGAAGCTTACCAGAGAGGCCTTTGTCACTCCGCTATGAGTGAATTCACTATTTGATATGTGTGAATTCACAACTCGTTGGGCAAGAGGTACCATGGAAGTTTATAAGTCTCCCTCTGGGTGACTGCAATTTTGCAAGGATGGCAGAAGGGCAATTGTTTCACTTGTATACTAGCTTCTGATTCCAAAAACAACAGTCTCTTGGGGGATACCAGGAGGGCAGAGCCCAGGGCAAAACTTGGCAAGCCAACCATGGAGCCTGGGATAATTTAGTGTATGAATAGCCAACATGGTGCCTGACATGCTCTTGGATCACAACTCTCACCATCTTTTCCATTGGCCATTCTGGCAGTGACTGATGAGATCCATAGTCCAACAACAGCTGAAAGGCACCACATTGACCACCCCTGATCTAGTGGGGCCGGGGTGGCATTAGAATAGAAACCAGTGAGCCAGAGGGGGAGATAGACATTGTGTATCAGCAGAAGACACGATGAGCTTGAGATTATTCATCTTTAGCAGCAACGTTTAATTGGCTTCTCTTCTCTCTTTTTGCACTGATGGGAAAAAACCCCCAAGCTGCAATGAGTTTGAGCTTCTGTGTGAACACTGCAAAACAAAAAAATTCTGAAGAAACAAACAAGCAAACAAGTCAGGCAAGTCAGCAGAATGTAGACTGATTGACTATCCTAATGGTTCCCGCAGACAAAGCAAAGACTATCAGCTGTTTTAGAGCGAGGCATGAAATGTTCCACCACAGGGAGCTACTTCTTAATTGAGATTTCCCCGCCACTTTCTGGTCATTCTGGAAACCAGGAGCCACCAGCCTTTGTCCTGCATTCCAGATTCCCACAAACCCTTCCCCTTCTACAGAGGAGGTAGGGAGTTTTGGCATGTCAGTCGTCATGAACTGGGCATTGCATAACTCATTTATATAACTTGTAGCTGGTTTCCTGGATGCCGCAGACGTGTTAACAAAGTGCCGGCTTCTATTTTTTGCTTCGGCACAAATACATTCCTTGATTCGAGTAGACAAGAAACCAGCTGAAGTAGTCTGATCACACGTCGTCGTAGGTATGTTAAAGTAATGTCGACAGCTTGTTTTCTTGCTAACCTGCTTCAATTTTGGAGTGTTAGAACTGCAAAACTATCTGTGTAGATACATGATTTATAGCAGAGGAGCTGTGGGACCAGTGCTCAAATTTCTCATAGCTGAGTTACGTCTCCTGCCCTGCCAGGGTGCTGTCACACTTCCGTCTTCCCTTGGTGTTGATATTGTTCAGCCATGCACTTCTCACTGAAAATACAAACTACTGTATGTTCCTCCTGAGCAACTGCATTCTTTTGTTTTCTATTCACGAAGGGGGAAATAATATTGTGGAGTGTGCACATTTATGAGTGCTTTACTCCTCAAGTGGAGTGTGTGTGTGTGTGTGTTTCAAACAAATATAAAACCCCAGTGATGTTGCAGGTATTGTAAACAAGCAGCCCATGGGGGTCATTTAACCAGCCCATGGACCCCTGCTGCCCACTCGGTTGACTCCCATGCACCGCGCTAAACCGGCACAGAGCAGAGAGGGGACCTCCTTCCACGATGTTGGTCGGCTTCCCATTGGCTGCAGGAAGCTCCTGCAGCCAATGGGAAGCTGTGCATGCCTGCTCCGCACCAGAAGGAGTGCCCGAAATAGCATTTGTGCATGCATGCGTGTGTGTGTGTGTGTGTGTGTGTGCACTCTGGCCCACCACAGCATCTGCGGGACCATGAACCAGCCCAAGCCACAAAAACTTTGCCAACTCCTGCTCTAGTGCTATTGTTTTCCCTGGGGTGGAAGACTGGTGACCTCAACTTCATTCTCTATTTCCACGGCTGCTTTCTTCGCTGTCCCTGCTCTTTGAGTGAAACCGATAAACAGACGGCATTGTCAGCTTCGCCTCATCCTTGTAAAAACCTGTTGGAAAAGAATGTCAATCTAGACACTATGCAATCTAGATACTATGCAATCAGAACAGGGTTAGAACTAGGATACCATTAGCAAAAACACTTGTTGCTGTTGGAAGCATCCTGAAGTAAACTTGGAAGTACAACTGACTTTCAGATCTGTAAATGGCACGAGGATGGGTAAGGCTAGGGTGGCCCATTTCGCCAACTCAGAATGTTATGTCCTCCTTCCCTTGTGAAGTTAACTCCATCAAAAGAGTTGCAGAGGGACGCAATGTTCCTCTGCATTATGTTCCCTCTGCGTTGCATTGCAGGGGGTTGGACTGAATAACACTTGGGATCACTTCCAACATTCTATGGGTTTTTATTTATTTTGAAGCAGCCTGGAAGTTTAAAAGAGAAAGGAAGAAAACAGCCAGAAGAGGACTAGGCTCTCTCTCTTATGTGCTAGTATTTTGCTCAGGAGGGATTTCTTTACCTGGGTGTATTCCACTTGTGATCTGAGGAGCTACAGTCAGCTCGACCATGCAGGATGCTCACTCTTCTGCCTGCTTAGTAAAGGGACCCCTAACCACTAGGTTCAGTCGTGACCGACTCTGGGGTTGCGGCGCTCATCTCACTTTGTTGGCCGAGGGAGCCGGCGTACAGCTGAGTCATGTGGCCAGCATGCCGCTTCTGGCAAACCAGAGCAGCGCACGGAAACGCCATTTACCTTCCCGCCGGAGTGGTACCTATTTATCTACTTGCACTTTGATGTGCCTTCGAACCGCTAGGTTGGCAGGAGCTGGGACGGAGCAACGGGAGCTTACTCCGTCACAGGGATTCGAACTGCTGACCTTCTGATTGGCAAGTCCTAGGCTCTGTGGTTTAACCCACAGCGCCATCCGCGTCCCTCTGCCTGCTTAGGCCAGGCCTAAATGCTTAGCCTTTGGGTGGAGAGAAATCCAGCGATGTATTGGAATGCAGGTACAAACTCCTCTTCCTCTTTTTAGTCTTCCATTTCTGTTAGGTGGTCTGAGCGGTCCCTTTCCTTCCCTAAAACGGATGTTCGATTCACTTTGTGCAAGATTCATAATCACATAGGCATTATCTGACCTTTCAAGAGATTGTTTCTGGAAACCTAGAGCAGTGGGAGATGCCGTAACCCCTAGATGAAGAGGCATTGTAAGTAATGCAGTAAACGTGTTCCCTTGTTTAAATAGGAATCTGCTCAGAATTAATAAATACAACTCTCTGGCTTGCACAGCGAAGGCACTCAAAATGGAACCTGGCTGCTGCTTTTTCCAAGTGCTCGCCTTAACGTGTGCAGCGCAGAAAGTGGGAAAGCTCAGAAATCTTTTCATTTGAGCTCTTTCCAATTGCATTCAGCAGGATACTGGGAGACCACTTTCATGTGTTAATTATTTCTGCCCTGATTGCCTGGCAACACATAGCAGCGGAGAGGCAAGATCACACTTTGCTGTTTGTTAAAGCTTCCAGTCGAACAGCAGAAAGAAGCTGGAGTGCAGAAGCCTCACCTGGAGAAAAAGAGCATATAAAGACAAGGGAAGAGAAAAGCAGTTCTATGTTTAGAGCAATTAAAAAAAGAAAGAAAACCCGTGCAATGGTATCACATGTTCAAGCCCCAGTCGGAACTATTTTTTTATATAATAATCTGCATCACCAATTTCAACAGCATGGAATTAGGTTCTCTGTTATGCAGTTAACAGAAGGACAATCATGCTGCTATTGGTGAGATGCTGATGTCTGCTGGGGGAGTCTTTACTGCCTCATCGTCACTTGCCTCCACCCGTCCCCAGTTTATGAAGCATGCAGCAGGCAGAAATTCACTAGGTGCATCTTTTCTATTTTTGTGCATCTCCGTGCTATGTCCAGTGAATTTCCACCTGTCACACATGCAGCTGGACATAACACAGAGCACTGCTGGTAACGAAATGGCATCACCTCTCCAAGAATCTGTTTTGAGGCTGTGGTCTAAACCACAGAGCCTAGGGCTTGCCAATCAGAAGGTCGGCGGTTCGAATCCCTGCGATGGGCTGAGCTCCCATTGTTCGGTCCCTGCTCCTGCCAAACTAGCAGTTCAAAAGCATGTCAAAGTGCAAGTAGATAAATAGGTACCGCTCCAGCGGGAAGGTAAACAGCGTTTCCATGCGCTGCTCTGGTTCACAGAAGCGGCTTGGTCATGCTGGCCACATGACCCGGAAGCTGTACGCTGACTCCCTTGGCCAATAAAGAGAGATGAGCCCCGCAACCCCAGAGTTGGCTACGACTGGACCTAATGGTCAGGGGCCCCTTTACCTTTACACGTGCAGAAGGTTTCTTTGTGTTTCTTTGCCAACTTTTTAGCTCTCCCCTGTAGCTCTGCATTTAACACCAACTTGCTGTGCATGCTGGTGTGGATTTCATTTGGCACATCTTAGCTGCTCTTCAAGGCACAAAAGTATTTTTTCTGGGTTAGTTGGAAACTTTATATCAAAATCAGGGATGGGGAACACGTGGCCTTCCAATGACTCAAACTTCCATCAGTCTCAGCCAGTGGGAAGATGGGAACTGTAGTCTTTTAACATCTGGAGGACTGCAGGTTCCTCATCCCCGATCTCTGCAAAATAGTTTTCTATATACAAGGATGCTGCTTTTTTGTTCTAAGAGAATAAAAGATGGCACAGAATCATTAAGGTGTAGTTCATTTTTAACTAATATCTGTTAGCATGAAAGATACTGAGTCTCCTTACATGGAATACACAGATAGTGAACTTTTAAGACTGCAACGCCAGGGATATTTTTGTCAGGGATAATAAGTCCCACTGAGCTGATTCTTGGTAAAAGTGCTTCTGATAGGATTGCACGAGAGTAGTGGACTTAAATACTTCTGGAGCAGGGACACTTACATATCATGTTCATTTGCAACAGAGCCCAAGGCAGCAAACTTTTTATTGCTACAAGAAGCCTGTGTGCTGCCTTGAGCTCTGTGGCATGGACCACGAGGGTCATCTAGTCCAATACCTTGCAGTGCAGAAATCTTCCTCCCAACGGGGCTCAAACTCAAAACCCAGAGGATAAGAGTCTCATGCTCTACCAACTGAGCTATCCCACTGAGGAGAACAGAAGTAGAATAATAGAATTACAGAGATAGAAGGGACCCTGAGGACGATCTAGTCCAACCACCTACCATGTAGGAATATGCAGCTGTCCCTTCTGGGAATGGAATCTGTGACTTTGACACTATTAGCGCCATGCTATAAGTGCCCCCCCCCAAAAAAATATCAGCTCCAAGGCATCATCACTAGTTTTCCTCTGGCAAAAGTATGGAAGCCTTTGCTTTAATTTTTAGGTGAACCACCACAAATTCCCAAGCCAAACCTGACAAGCTGTGTTTAATCTTAACTATGTTTTTGTTTTGTTTTTTTGAAAACAACAACAAAGCAACATCAAACCATAGTTTAAGAAGCTGGATTGTTTTATTGGTTAGTCATATTTAAGATGGACCACAGTTAGAATTCTGATGTAATGCTAAACTGTGGTTAGATCCAAACGGAAGCTTCTGATATCTTTGTGGCTCCACCAGAGTAGGAAAGATAAGAAGTGCATGTAATGGCTTTAACATCCAGTGTGAATCGGGACAATGTCTCATCCTCTGAAATATGGGATAGTGATACTGATTGACCTTACAGGGTTGTTGTAAGGACTACCATGACAGCACGTGCAAAATGCTTTGAACACTTGAAATGCGCCATATAAATGCTAAGCAGTACTGTATATTTATAACTCCTAATTGGAATGAGGGCAACAGAGGGGAAGAGCCGACCACGGCAATCAGTTTGCTCAACTTCTGTGCCTTCATCTCCTTCTCCTCCCCCAATCCATCTCACTGAAGCCTGGATTAATACAAATTGAATTTGGAATTAATCACAGAATTGTAATTGCAAGAACTCCTAAGAAAGCATCAAGCAATCACTTCTTCTTTTTTGTAGAAGCTGTCATCTGATGTTATGAAGAGTCTGTTGAATGGCCTTTTTGTCTATTTTACCACTGAGCCAGCTAGCTAGCTAAATAAATAAATAAAGCAAGCAAGCAAGCAAGCAAGCCATTTTTTTAAAAAAATCAAGTGCCTTTAAAAAAATGAATACACCCACACACTGCAAATTGTCTTTGTGATTCGACACTTGGTAGCTGTTCAGGTAAAATCCACTTTCTCCCCTCCCCACCCTCCTCTACTTTCGGCATCTTGTGTATTAGGTTGTGTATGGAAGACACAGCAAAATATATTTTTTTAAAAAAGAAACAACTACCACAGTATGGTTTTTAGAGCATTCACTAAGTATCTGTAGGAGTTAGTACAAAAGGAATAATCTTCTAATAAAGGCGAAAAGTTGGGAAATTTTCCTTCTGATCTCAACATCACTCCAAGTAACACACATCAGTGCACACATTTTAATGCTGTTCATCTTTATTGTTTAGAAAGCCAACACTGACAACAACAATCCTCACCCAACTGTCACATATCATCTGTAATGACAGGGTAGCTTCTGTTCTAAATTCACTTTCATAAAGCCCTTCATTTTAATATTCCAATTCCCTGCACTTCACCTTAAAATAGTACCAGCTACAAGCATTCTCTACCAATAGCAATGTGCCTTTACAATAGAATACCGACTTGAATTCCTTCGCTTTTCTAATGACACACTCTCTCTTCCCCCATCCAGATCTTGCACTCAGTAATTTCCCCCCAAATACATGCTTTTGTATTTGACTCCCTAGAACAGAATCAAACTATCTACTTTAAAAAAATTAAAATGTCTGTTTGAAATATTTGGGCTTTAGTCTGTTGTTCATGAAAGATCCATGGACTGGTTTGAGTTACTAGTAGTTTTCCCCAACATGGCAGCCTCCAAACATTGATGATCTTCAACTCCTGTCAGCTCCATCCAGCAGGGATGATGGGAGTTGGAGTCCAATGGTGTCCACAATTATTCTCTCTTTATTTATTTGATATATTAGGTTTACGTCCCACTTTTCTGCTGAGACTGTCTCCATAAGGGGCTGACAACAGTTAGAATCCATAACGAATGTCTGTGGAAGTAGCAACTGGGAGCTATCTCTGAAGTATATTTTATACAAATGAAGCATCATCGCCTGTACTGCTTTTAAATATACATACACAAGCACCTATCTGTGATTCTGTTTGGCACGGTAAGCAGCCATTTTTTTATTTTTATTTTTTTAAAAAAATCTATATGAAACACCAGAGAAACTTGATCTCGGTTGCATTACAGTAGGGTCAACAACACAAAGGATATGCCCCACTTTTCAGAGAGCAGAACGACAGTGTAGAAAACCATCATGACCTCAGGATATTGTAAAAAGAAATGGAGAAGCGTTCAAGTATTAGTGAGTGTCAGGGCTTTAATATCCTGGATAAAACTAATATGCCCTGTAGGGGGAAAAATGTGTGCTGATGCTGAAGAGAAGTGGGGGAAAGAATCATTTTTGTAGTCAGACACTGGGAAAGCTGTCCAAGAATATTTCAAGTGCGAAAACAGAACTCCAGCTTTGGTGTTAAAAATAATGAAATCTAGGGTGTTAAGTACCACATGTGTTGTGGGATATGTTAGAACTGCCCAAGGCGGTTTTAATTTTATTTTCCCAATTGTTCAAGCTGCTTTTTTTTTTTAACCTGAAAGATTTAAGTGGTTCAAAAGAGAACAAAAGCTAAGGGGTGTGTGTGACAGAAGTACTGCATTTAACACTCCAATAATAACATTCTGAAGGAGGGCTTGCATGCTGAGAACTAATTCCCCCCACAAAAATGTCCAACCTATTTTGATGTGTATGAGACATGCCTATGAACAGGGAATGCAGCATTCAATGCAACAGATAGAGGCTATTTAAATTTTGACACCAATAAATGTTTTCGCAGACCCAGCACCAGCGGGTAGTAGGCAAGCACCATGGATCTCAGCAGGGCTGGGATCTGTGCTGTCTACCCTATGGTGGGCATCATGAGTGGTCCCCTCTGGTGGTGCCAGCACACCCCCTGTGACAACCAACAACTGCTCAGCTTCCATGAAATGAAATGGTGACTGCCATTTCCCACCATGCAGTGTTGCAGAGCACCCAGCATAGCAAGCACTGCCATCCTGGACAATCGTGGGCAATTTATTTTGGAATAAATAAATAAATGACGGCTCTCGTAGGAAGTGTGCCAGCAATGCTGTGCAAGCTTAATTTTTGGAGGGAGGTGATGGGAGGCCCTGTGCCAACACTGCAAATTTATCCTGGCTGGGCCAGGGTGGTGGTGGACCTGATTGGCATGGCATTAATTTTCTATTTCCGTTGTTCCTTTTGGTTCAACTCTTTGTTGAGAGAGAGGGCTGAGACTCAATACATATCATGGATGGCATACTGAGAAAAATATGACTAGTACTCAGGGACAGACCACAGCTAAATTATGCATTTTGTGACTTCCGGTCGGATCACGAGGTGGCAGCAAGCGGGCTTTTCCTCGGGAGAGGGAGGCCAGTTCCTAGAGGACAAAAGGGGGTGCTAAAAGGGCGCCTTAGCCCCCCCAAACCCTCCTGAAAGGATATTCAGGGGGTAAGGATCCCGACGCTGCGTGATAGCGGTTCCCTCAGCCGCCAGGTATCTTCTTTAAAAAGGAGATGAGAGCGGCGGGGTAGAAGGGCTTGCAGCGGGACGCCATTGCCAGCCTCTAGGAGCGTAGCTCCGAGCCTGCCCACTGAAGCGATCGGCTTTCCAAATTAAAAGAAATCGTTTGGGGACTGCGAAAAGAATAAATTTTGAGTATTCGGACCCAATTTGAAGCAGACAAAGGGTAAAAAGGAGGTCAACTTTGTCTGAATTCCGAAGCGCACACAAGGACTATTATCAGGGCGAATTGTAACTGTGAGTAAAAAACAAGCGGAGACTGTTGGCGATTGGAATTATCCTGTTGTATTATTTTTCTTTTTTGCGTTATATTTTTAAGGGACTTACATAAAAATAATTTTTGAGGGGTGAAGAAGATAGAGGGGATAGAGGATTAATTCCCTTTCTAGTTGAACTGGTGATTGTTTAAGATGCCAAGAAAGGATCTGGAGTTTGATCATTTTACTTTTGATTTTAAATGAACTGCGTAATGAGTTGAAATGTGGCTTTTTCCAGCTATTTTTACACCCTTAGTACTGTCTAAAATAAGAAGAAATATTATTTACCTTTAATTTTTGATTGGAGTCTGGAACTGGATATAATTTGAATGATTTGAGAAAGTTTACGTAAAGGATTTATGTTCACACCCCCCGGTAACTCAACTCTCTCTCAGAAGAAAACAACGCCATTTTAATTTATTTTATTTTTGGGACACTGGAAGGAATTCGTAGCTGTTTCTCTCTTTCTCACAGATTTGGATTGGATTATTTTTTTTCCCCTACTTTTGGGAAGGGGTCTTCTTTTTTTTGGATTCATTCTTTTTTGGGGGGTTTTTTGGGGGATGTTTGGATTTGTGGATGTATTTTTTCCTGGTTTTTCTTTGCTATCGTGATTTTAAGGATTGGAAGGATCTGAATGAATTTTAAGACTATATCTTGGATTTCCTGTATGCTCTTTTATTTTTTTACTATAATTATTACCTCGGATTTGGCCAAACAAGTGGCGGCAAGAATTTGAGACTTTATTGGGGTCTGGTTTTTATTTGAATTTCTCTAGACTAATGTTTGTTGGATAAGTTTGAAACACCCCCTATTGGATAAACATAAAAAGACAGTTCTAATAGCATTGACATTAGGCTTAAAGCAGACACTGCTCCCTGGTGGTCAACTTCGGCGTTGCATTAAAAATCATAAAATTAATTTAATTAAATTTATAAAATGTCTTATACCCAGGAGAAGGCTGATGGAGGGACACCAGCAGAGAGGAGGAGTTCTAGACAAGAACCTGATATTAAAGGAGATCTGATGAAGATGTTTGCAGATCTTAAGACAGAACTTAAATCAGAGATACAAAAAAGTGAATAAAATATTGAAACTAAATTGGAGCTGGTGGACAAAAAGATAGATGTTACAGTGGAAAAAATTGATGAAACAGTTAAGGAAATGAAGGGGCAG